ACGGTTTCTTTGCAGTGACAGAACTGGCCTCTTAGCTGTGATCACTTCTATTCCCTCTGACAGCCTCCGTTGTTCACCATGCATCTGAAGCAGGGTTACCTTAGCTGCAGCTCCTGCCTCGAGGCTGTTGGTGCATCCCGTGGGCCTCTCGGTGTAGGGGCTGGTGGACGGGGCTACCAGTTCTGTGGGGATGCTCTGGGAGCGTCTCTTCCTCCTCGAGCACACCGAGCTGGGGCTGAGCCGGCTGCTCTGAGCGTCAGACGCACACTCGCGGCTCGTCACCGGCACCTCCAGGGACGTGGATCTCTGTCAGAGACACAAACGTACACAACTGAGCAGGGCTCCGAGCTGCATCACACGCACAGATGCACCTGTTCGTGCCATTAACAACTGAAAGGAGGCGAGGAAGAGCGGGATGTGTGCGGCGGACGCAACCTTGAGTGCCGCACACGAAATGAACAAAAACATCACTCGGAGCCTATTCTGGGATTAAATCAAAAACAACTCAAACCCCACAAACACGCCGCATACATTAGTGTTATTGTGCTGGCAATGAAAGGTTTGGTTACCTCACTAATTATCTTATGTAAATTCAACATCAGGGCTTCAGTGTGTCCCTTTGATTAGCTGCAAATCACTCAGACTGCCTCTCTGTTATACTACATGTTACCTGATGCAGGTGTTTCAGAAGCGTCTCAGCTAATGTGAGCAGGAAGGGTGACAAATCATTTAGCACCAGGTTTTTTTTTAACATGTCCCTCCTCCTCTTTTCTTTTTGTTCATCTTTCCCCGGTACAGCGTCATACATATTCAGGCCAGGCTGACACTGAGCACATGCTCCTAAGTATCATGCGATTAAAACACTTACCTGATCTGTGCCCCCTGGGAGAGGCGTGCACGATTCAGACTGTGGAGAAAAATAGACTATAATCCTTCTCCGTGGAATGATGGTGGTGGGGGGGTGTGCAGGAATTTATCTCAGAGAAAACCACAGCAAAAATCAAACTGGCAGCTCCCACTATTCCCTCAGTGGCTCATTAATAACAGGTTAAGTACATAAATGACTGTACCCAAGTGGTTTTATATCATTTTCAGATGCTGTGACTTGGAAATGTAAAAATAACGTTTCTTGTGTGCTTATAATCATGCATCTTGAGAATTTTTTAGAGAGGTGATTATGCGGCTGCTGAAACCTCTGGCATCAAGTGTGATTATGATGAACAGCGCTCTCCTGCTTTTATTCTGCTTTAATTGTCAGAGCGGCTCTTTGTTTTCCCATCATCCTTCCCGTACAAAAGCAGGAGCCGTTTTCTGTTGCGCCATCTGTTTTCAGCCGAGCTGTCAACTGTGGGAAGTGATCGTTCTGGCATTCAAATAAAGTGTTCTTTCTAGTTTCAGTCATCAATGGATATTAATTAAAACTAAATGCTGCCTCACATTCAGCACTTCCTTCCACATCAGCCTTTTAGAAGCACACAGTAACCCTTCCTCCGTATGTACAATATTTTTCCTCCCGTGCTTTTGATTTGACTTAAATGTAACGACGTTTCACAGCTTCTGAAACGGGCTTTGTTGCCTTTGTCTTTTTTTGGTGTGTTTGTTTGCCTGAGCAAGTGTTTGAACATTCGTGTTTACAGAGGAAATAGGCTTAATCGACCAGTGGTGGTTTCTGTGAGGTGTGAATAAACAGCTTTGTGTGGTTTATCATGTCATGAGCTCTGAGCTGGGTAAAAAAAAAAAAAATTAGCCAGAGCCCATAGAAACTCTGCAGAACCACGTGTGAATCGAAAAACCGAAGACTGTATGCAAGTCTTACTTTGATCTAAAGACAAACTCTCTATTTGTTGCTTTACCTCACAGCATCTGCTTCCAGGCAGACTTTTCTCAGTAATATATTTTTGGACTGACGTGCTGCTCATTGATGAGTCTCACTGATATTTTTATAACATAATGTTGATTAAACACATTTATTTATTGCTGTCAATGTCATCTGGTGTACAAGATGTTTAATTACAGGTCACAAGTCAAGACATCGTGTCTTTGCTGTCTGTAATCATCGAGCGTCATGAGTCACAAATATTAAAAAGATTTGTTCAACTTGAATTGTTTTTTTTTTAAGGTGGTGTTTAACTCCAATGTAAGAGGAGCTATTTAAAGTCTTGACTCGTTTGATAATGACGGTTCTAAATAATACATCTATGCTTAGTTCACTATGAAACCTTTAAAACTGACTCTTAATTCAGTGATGGTCAACCTGGTGATTGTGTCGAAGCCACCACAGCCATACAGTCGACCACGTGGCGAGAGCGTTTGGTCAGCGGCTGTTGTTTGGATCTAAAATTGCAAAGTTTTCTATTTTCTACATTTGGTTGATTGTGGCATTGATGTTTGTAGTTTTACTTCTTGGTTACTACGATTTCATTCACACTGAAGTGCAGTTGGTATCTCACCCTGCCATCTCTGTGGTCTCTGAGCGTCAGTGCAGGTCTGGGCTTCTGCTGCTCTTTTCTCAGCTCGGCCGCTAAAGAAACCTGAAGCTGCTGCTGTTGGACAGGAGTCTGCTTCCTCCTCCCCTGCTGCAGGTCCTCATCCAGCAGCTCTCTGCCGTCAACCACTGCTGTCTGTCCACAAGCCTCCTCCACTCTGCACCTCTCCTCCCAGCTCTCTTCACTCGTCACATCTCTGTCCACAGCTGTGTGGCTGATCTCCTGGTGCAGAGCTGCGCTGGTCGACAGCTTCCCCTGACACTGGCCTGGCCTGCCACGGTCTGCACTCAGCTGAGCCTGGCTGTCTGGAAGAACTTCTCTCTGGTGTTGGTGGTAAGACAGATACGATTTAGACTGAGGGTGGGGCTGGGAGTCGGCGGCTTGTGGCTGAGACGCCGACCCTCGGCTGCAGTTGAGCTGGACGACCGGTGATGTCGGGGGAGGACACTGCAGGGAGCTCTCCATGTCCCAGCACCTCTGGAGAGGCTGGCTCTGCTGCAGGGAGGCGGAAATAAGAGCAGGCTGAGCACAGCTGGAGTTGTAAATTGTGGCGTCCAGCTGGCTTTTGTCCAGACTTGGATGATCTGGCTGAGAGGGAATGCCATGTAGGCAGCACAACTGGGGCTCACAGCAGGCCTGGTACCCGCAGCCTGGCTCTCGTCCTCTGTGAAACACAGGAGGCAGAGCCAAGCAGGTGATGGGCTGCGGCCTCATGATGCTGGAGCAGGCCAACCCCGGAGGGTAAGTGCAGTTTCCCCCCTCAACAGTCAGCTGGCCTGCAGGGCAACAGGGTCACAGTGAGAAAACAACATGTCATACGTCACGCATAGAAACAATACCAACAACAATAAAACAGATGTGTATATCGGGAGCTTTTTCCATGATCATTTTCATTCTGCAAATTGAACATTCATTATTTTTGCCTTCACAGAATGAACTTTACCTAAAGAAGAAATCTGCTTCGTCCAGTAACTGGCATCCCAGTTGAACTTGATCTTGATGGGACTCCAAGACTCTGGGAGGAGAGACGCTTCGAGCAGCTGCTGCATCTGAAGGGAAATCTGCAGAACGAATATATACAGTCTGCATAAACAGGATGCATTTAGTGATTTCCATAGGAGAATTACAAAGAAAAGCAAAGGTGCACTCAAAAGACATCTCCAGATAATAATGATTGATGAAAGCAGAGTTCTAGTGTAAAGCATGTCACGTCTTACGCTGAGAAAGATCCCATTATGATGAGTGCTACTGAACTAAATCAACCACAGGGACAATAAATACACTAAACAGTACAGAATATAGCTTCACATAGATGCTCTTAGGGCTGTGGGTGAGGTATGTTAGCGATTTACATGCAAGTGATTTAGTCTGAACTTCCATAAAGCTGCAGGTATCCCAGGAGACACTTTTACAAAATTATGATCAGAATTGATGCAAAGAAGCCAAGACATTCTGACTTTTTGTCCTTCATGTGGATGACGTTAACACCTCTTATGCCTTCATGTCGTTTGACGTTTTTTCTCGCCCCACCTGCTCCGACCACATAACCACGGGCTTTCCGTAGTTTCTGAGCCCACGCTAAAATAAAGCCAGTGATGCATCTTCAGCAGTTTTCTCAAGAGAAATTAATTATTATTGCCCTCACAGGACTGTGCATGTGTGTGTGTGCGTAACAATGAGACAGTGGACGTCTGCTGAGCGTCGTCTCTGCGTACCAGAGCCCTGCTGAAGAGCACCGGCTCTCTGCAGTGATGGGTCGTAGCCCAGGTGATGAACTTCTGAATGTGGTCCAGCTGGCCACATATCTCTATTGCCCCCTGCAGCTGGTCCTCCAGACGCTGCTGGAAACCCTCGGAAATCTTCTGCAAAGGAATTCAAAAATAATGCACGTGTAATTACTGGCATCCAGTGGCTGAACTGTGGGCTAATCAACAATGCTTTTTTTTTTTGACAGATGTAGTTCCTAAGATGTTGGTTTAAGCAGTTTTGACAGATTATTATTGGCTCTCGTTTGCTTGCTTTCAGGCCTGATTACATCATGGCAGTTACAGATTCTTTGCATGTACATTCACGGCTGGCTGAACGATAAGAAGGAAAGAAAGAATGAGAAAGTAATTACCTCCAGTTGCTCTATTAATAGGTTGGCTCGTTTGTTAAGCTCGTTCATCATAATCATCTTTGCCATTTTAATCTGGTTCTCTGCCTTCCTGTGTGCAATCTTTACCCCATGAAGCCTGCAAAGACAGAACGGGGGGCAAAAAATGTCTCTTCCAAAAGCAGAAGAAAGCAGCATTTCAGGCAGTAATTTATTCATTAGCTCGTTATATTTCACACTGTTAAATTATTGACTGGCGTTGCTCAGAAGTGGGACTGTGATTATGACTCTGTGTGAGTTGGGACCAACCTGTCCTCTATTTGTTTGGCGTTGTTCTCCACGGCAGACCTCCTCTCCTCCACCTGCACCATCAGGCTCTCAAACAGCCACTGCTGGTCCTGCAGGGCCTTCCCGATCGGCATCACCCTAAACACATGAGAGATCACAGCAGCCACCAGACAGAAAGTTCACTAATTTATTCTTTGGGCATGAGGAAGACCAGATTAAAATTTGTTTCCCCTGAGGACAAGACATTATGCAGGTGACCTTCGAGGCAGCTAGTGTGCTGTAACATCACAGAAAACAAAAGGGTATGAATACTTAATGAACGCTAGGCTGGCCAAGGGTAGTGTATGCAGATACAGATGATAAAAGTGACAAGGCAGTTAGAGAGCGTTGCAGCTCAGAGGAAGTTTTTAACCTGCGGTTAGCCCTTCTCTGCAGTGTCCTTGTGGTGTGCATCTGAGGACTGACCTGTGGTTTTTGTGGGAGGACAGGTGACAGCTGCTACAGCACAGAAGGTCACATGACTCACAAAAAAGCTCCAAGGGCTCCTGTCTGTGAGAGTGGCACATGAGGAGGGAACAAGGATATGACCCTGGGCCTGAAAGACATTCAGCGAGAGGAGGGAGAGGGGACAGAGGAGGGAGCGTTAGCAAAAGTCAACAGGCAATTCACATCCAGAGCGTGAAGAGGGCTCCTAAAAATGCATCAGAAGAGGACAAATATTTGTAGTAGCACAGTGTCATCTGCTAAACCAGCCTTTCAGAGTGTTCAGGCAAGCGACTTACTCCTTCGAGCCTATTTGTAGAACCGCTTTGGAAAGAAAGATTATTATTTAGTATTAAAACCGAGCTGGAAGTCATTTATAGCTTCATTACTGCTACAGTGGGTCTTTGGGAGTCATCAGAACAGGACAAACGGACTGAAATCAAACACGTGAAGCGTTCTGAAACCCTCACCGCTGACCCCACGCCGCTCAGACTGGATGTTAAACTACATATGGAGCCCGTCGCCGTGTTGTTAAAGTATATACTGGATCTAACTTTAAGAGCAAAGAAAGAAAAAGTTGAATTGCATTTTCTTCTGCTGGCTGCTGGTCAAACTGTAAAATAACAGGTTGTGCTGTGACAGGGAGTTCTCAGTTGCATTTTACGTTGGACTATATTTAGGCTGAAAGAAGCCACTTCCTGGAAGCCGCTGCCCCAGCCGAGAAACAGTCCAGCACATCGTTGGACTGTTTGGTAATTAATATGAGTGATTGAGCTTTTGGTAGGTAGAGTTTTTCACTTTGAACTGAACAAAGCTGCCTGTTTTGCCTGTTTTCAGTCTTTATGATAAGCTGAGCTCAGTTTATTCAATTCAATTATATTTGTATAGCGCATATTTACATGAACAAGTCATCTCATAGCGCTTAACAAAGGCAGAAACACCCAACAATCCAAAACATTTGGATTCCCTATAAGCTTCAGCAGTCTGCAGCAGTGGGAAGGAACCGAAAACCCCCGAAAAACCTCCGACAGAACCAGGCTCAGGGAGGGACGGCCATCTGCCTCCACCGGTTGGGTGGATGTAGGATGAATTATAAAATTTAGTTTACAGTTAAAGAAGTTATTAGAAGTTATTGTCCTTTTGTTCCTCCATTTCAAATGGACCAATGAAATATTCCATTTCGTGGTTTACAGCAGAGACATGAGAATGGCATCAATCCTCTCATCTAACAACCACCTAGAAAGGAAACAAGCATCTTTCCAACAATGTCAAACTATTACTTTTAACATCAACCACCATTCTGCTTGTTGACTTCTTAAACTGAAACAAATGGACAAAACTTTTCAAGATTTAAAATGTTGTTCAACAGCCTGGCTTTTCTGAAGATGAAGAAACAACAAACTGTAGAAGTTTGAATCTAATGAGTATATTCTGTCATAAATAAGACCTGGATCACTTTTTAAAAATATAAAATAGCCTCAATGCCGGAAACACTAAGCTGTCAGAACACTTCAAATCAAAATCCAATCCAGTTTATTGTCATGTTGCTGTACATACCATAGTGGTACAAACAAGATGAGAGAACGTTTCTTCAGGATCCAAAAACTAAAAGCAATTAAATAAAGAAGTGTTTGCATATCCGGATCAGCAGTTCACCATTAACTTCTTAACTTCTTAACAGATTTATAGGAAAGACTTTTACATACAACACAAGTGAAACTTTTGTTTAGTTCTGCAGCTGGAACAGCAGCTGTGAACACTGATGAGCTGCATTGTGTTGTGTTGTTGAAGCTGGTCTACCTCTGCAGGCAGATGCACAAACCCATGATACAGTTGTGGGAAATAGGTTGAAGCTAAAGGAAGCTGAGGTTGCAGTGGGACTGAGAAACAACGCTGAGACGAGTCTAAAATGAAAGTTAATATTTCAGTTCTGTCCATTCTGACTTTGAAGTGCCCTCAAACCCAAACTTACTAATACAGATACTCCAGAACATTTCTCACACATTTCCAAATGTGTCACAGAGGCAACTGTTGGCCCACAGAACGTCAGTCTAACAATAGCTGGATGAGGCTAATGAACGTAGCCCTGCTGCTCTCTGCTGGCCGGCTAACCTCAGCCAACCCCCCTCCTGCCTGCACATCATCACACATCTTTGCGGTAGAGAGCTGAGCATCTCCCCATCTGCATCGACTTGATCTGACTGACCACATCCTGTCTAAAAGCGCAGTCACACAGCTCTTCTCACAAGTACACAAACCAAACGGCAACACTCGCACATCACAATAAAGTCGCTGTGGATTGAACAATTTGACAACTTGTGCAATGCAGTCCCCTGCAAAAGCAGCTGGCAACAAAGCTGCCGGGCATACTGGAGGGGCTTTAAATAGCAGCACACTAATATTAGCAAAAATGAAATCATCCGAGCACTTCAGAATCTGGGCCACGTTGTTAAAGATAGGCGTAATAAAACACACGGATCTCCAGGAACTATTATTGCCACTAACATACATTATTCATTTCAGTGGTTCCTACTGAAACATGATTAATAATAAGTAAAGAGATGCGAGAACAGAAAGGAAAACAAAGAAGCCTTTCAAATGACAGCGAGTGCAGCCCCCATTAATAACCTGCTGGAACGGCCTGGAGAGGGAAGATATCAAAGTCTTGATGCACACAAACAAATATCTTGCCTTGTCCAGTAGGAGGCAGGGAGCTGGAGCCTCTCTGGTGCAGGTCAGGAAACTGGGCGGCACTGGGCCTCTGCTGCTGGTGCATGTCTGCGTACTGGGAGGCGGTGGCGGCTCTCTGATGCTGATGCACATCTGTGCACTGGTAACACAACCACTTGTTGCAGAGCGTACACAGACTCTGAGCGAGTGTCGGCTCTGTGCACTCTGAGCAGCTCTGGGAAGAAAAAAAAAAAAGAGCTTCTGTTTAAAAGACACTATGAGCTCATTTCACACACACACACACACACACACACACACACACACACAAACAGAGCTGTGTGATAAAAAGATGAGGTGGCACATGTCAGAGAGATTTGTGATGCTGCCTTCCTTTGGGGTGAAATCACACTTCAAAGAGTTGTTATACATTTTCAGGCTTGCAAATGCCTCAGAGACTCGGGGTAGGATGACGAGTCGCTGCTTGTGAAACTAAACCTGGGCCACGGCATCAGTTGTTAAATTTATTCTTTTATCGCTGATTTAATTTTCTATCCAAGAGCATTTAAACATACAAAAAGAACAGAAGAGAATATTTAAGCATAAAAAAGAAGATTTTTAAATTCATTACTGACAACATTGAAAAGCCCTCTTAGTCTCTGTTTGTTTCAGATATGAGCTGATAAAAGAACAGTAAATCTGTCAACATAAATCCAGTCACATGATGCACACGACAGCTTTATTTTGCTTAAGTTTCTTAATTTGTCCCCGTGGAGACGCTCATCAACTACAGTTGACCCTTCTCACAGATTTTGGAGCAGCGAACAGCACCTTGGGACCAAATCCACTTTTAAATCCCTTTGCCTTGTCCATAGACGATGGCGGGGGTATTCCTGAGATCTAACGGGACGTTTGAGGTGAGACAAGAGCAACACAAACACCGGAACCGATGCCAACTCATACAGAAAGGCCAACAGTGCACATTCAGAAACTGCTGCATGAAAGGAAACAATACCCCGCTCTATGAGAAAAAACAAAAAGTGAAATTGAAGATAGGAAGCGATGCTGAAAGAGACACCTTACCTTCTCCATTTCAGTGCTTTGAGAGTGGATCTGTTGCCTTCTCAGCAGGAGGGAGCAGAGAGGAGAGAGAGAGAGAGCAGCCTGACGCCTCAGCAGCAGAAACACTGAGGCTTCTTCTACCTGAGGCAGGAAGCAGTGCGCACCGAGAGGTGGCCCCAGAGGAGACGGCTTACATGACAGCCTCGCTGTGCTCCCTCCTCCCCCAGTTCATCCAAGTGTAGGACCCCTCACTGCAGCGGAGGAGAGGAGTGTCATGTTCAAATTCATCCTCCGCTCGGCTGCTGCAGCCACCAAAAAGGAAAGAAAATCTAATCCTTTTTCTTAAATAAGCCTGTGCATAATAATTGGGAATTAGGGAGATAACATAATTATTTTTTGTAGGGCAAAATATCCCCGGAAGCCTTTTCCAAAATGGAGGTAGGAAGACCAAGTGACCTACAATGAGAAAGGAGGGAGAAAGTGTAATGCAAGCACCTTTTAGGCTCTTTGGATGGGGCGCTGCGAGGCAGGGTTAGGTGATGTTAAGCTCAGGTTGTGTCAGGATATGTTGGGCTGGGCTGGGATAGGCCAGCTGTGGCCTTCTTCCCTTTGTCAGCATGAGGAGGGGACAGGTCCCAGAGGAGCTACACTCTAACGTAGCACACCGAAACCGGGTCAGGCTCTGATAAAGCTCCAGATGGGACTAGGATACACTCCTGCAATTCCCTCCAACACTGTGAAATCAATTAGGATTTTAACACAACATGACAGATAATTATAGCACACACAGTATGAGGAAAGAAAAGAAGTCAAGTGTTGACTAAGAAGAACGATGTGGACACAGAAGGGCTGTTTATTCTGACTGTGCCTCTGAAAAAGAAGCAGTTGCATGAAAGCTGAGAGAGGAAACACAGTGCTGCTGAAATCAATCGAAACTCCAACTCGCCACCAGACACAGGCCTGAATGAAACCACTTTGACATCTGGACCTATGAAGGAGTCTGCCTAACAACACCCCCTACAGCCTGACCTACAAATCTGACAACTTTCTCATCCTTGGATGCTTCAGTAGGGAGCTCAGAGCAATCCCATTCCCCATTGTGTGCTCAAAGACCCAATTTGAAACACAATTAGTCAGTCGTCGTGCACCCCGTGTCTCGTTCACTCGGCTCCGTGGCGCTTTCAAACTGTGCACTTGCTTTCTCTGCACCTTCACAGCATTTATCTTTCACACTGAAACCTCCCGCCAGCTTCCCTGCTCCGCTAAGCTGGCACTAGATACGCACGCCATCTCAAGAGATGTCACAATAATAGAAACCTGCGCTGTGATCTCTCCCTTGAAAGCAGCCTCGATGTAACATCCATTAACACCGGGGTGATGAGGTCACAAAGAGCGCGGGATTATCTCCAACCGCTCTTAAGTTATTACACCGTTTTACTATTTCTCTCCTTAAATAACTTTCTCTCTGTTCTGCAAAGAAATCCGTCGGCGTCTTCGTCGGCCTGCTGTCTATTCAATGCAAATAAATCTTTTAAAATGACAGTATATGAGAAAATAACCGAACAGCTAAACCCGCTGATTAAAAAGTCTGATTCAGTTGCTGCACCTTTATAAATAAACAACTTTCTAAAGAGGTATATTGGCAAAATTAAGTCTATCTCGTTGATAGCATCTAAAATAATCCTCGTAATTTACTTTAAAGGGGCATGCACACATTTTTGGCAGCTTGGAGGCAGAAAGGAGCAAACAGACAACCATATTTGATGCAACTTCAGCAACAACAAAATGATCTTTTCCACACACAGCACAGACACGTCTCCTCTGTGATGCTGAACCAGGAACATCAGAGGCTGGAAAAGAGGTTAATGCAGCAGCAAGACTCCCTGAAGCAGCAAAAAAGATCCATAAGGCTGTAATATTTCACTGTTAGTCCAATAATACAGTAGATGTAGTTATTCAATTCAATAATAATGTAAGATTTGGTTTGTAGAGAGTATATTCATCGCTGTGTTTTATATCGCGCGTGCAACATCTCTGCTTGTTCAAACCGTCATCTGCAAAACATAAAGTATTTTATTGCCACATTGCGATGTGCAATATCCAGGAAAGCATTCAGGAAGTTGAGGTCTCCTGTTGTTTCATCAGACTTTATAAAGAGGCTGCTTCCCATTTATTCAAGTAAAACTATTTGCAGTTAAACGAAATCATCAACATTTAGTGAGTAAATACGGTTGAATTTACGGCACATGTGCAGGTAAATAAACGAAACAAACAGGAGGGAAAAAAACATTTCCAGGACACTCATCACAGTGGGTGGGCTGCTCCAGAATCTGGACACCTATTTATAAAATCCTGTGTGCAGCCGTGATTTAAGGGAGCGTCTTACTGGAATTAAATCTGTTTTATTTATACAGCACTGGCCATATTCTGACAAAAAACTAGTCTATCTCTCTGGCTAAGTCTTATGAACAGGTGCATGGACTCAAACCTGCACAGTCCATCACTTTATAGCACAACCTGCATCATGCAAAATGAACAGCTCCATGCACACAGAGACTGCATGTGCAAGAGTTAAAGATGAACAATAAACATCAACAACAGGATCATTTCATAACTGCAACTATCTGCTTTTTGTTGCAGACTGTTTTTACCTGCAAACACTGCAACACAACAGCCTGATGATCACACTGACCTGATGAGGAAGCTGGCATTAACCAGGAGCACACCACCACCACCACCACCACCACACTTCACTGTTGTCTTACTCGCTGTACAAAGCTGTGGCAATTTGGGACTTCCAGTGCTTTTTCCTGCTGTCATGTTACACGTTTGGCTACCTGTTCCATCTGCTCTCCCGGCACTTTATTAACGTGCCTGCGATTAACAACAGCCAGCATGTCAGTCAGATCTGCAGAGAAACCTGCCCCCGCATCCACAGCCGCCCGCATCTGCATCAGCGGCCAGCCTCACCTCCGCCGGCGCATCACTCAGCCGCGTGATATTATTTTTTAGAAAGTGCGCATGAGATTACGCCCCTATCATGGCATCACGGGGATGATCAGAGAGGACAGCCCGAGCACGCAAAGTCAGCGCACTGACACTGTGTCTGCGCACGAATCAATCCCCGCTGCTCGTCAGGCGCCACCGCTCATGCAAAACCCCAAAAACAGCCTCCGACCAGGTGAACATGAGTGTTGTTGTCGGTGTGGAGGAACCGCGGCTGCTGCACACTGACGGCCTGTCAATCATCCTCTGTGTGTGTGTGTGTGTGTGTGTGTGTGTGCGGCTGCGTGTGTTTGTGTGTGTCTGCACAAAGCCCGAGTTTTTCTCCTTCTCTCTCTCTCTCTCTCTCTCTCTCGCGCTCTCTCTTTTTTTTTTTACCTTGACCCGCGCATCTCCGCCTGTCGATCCCTCCCCATCGGATGTCGCTCTTTGGCCCGGACAAAATTTTGGGAGATTCCAAGTCTCGCAGTTAATCGTGAGATTTTATGCCCCGTTCTCATGCAATACTTCTGACGTTTCCTCAAAGCTCGAGAGTGAAACTTGGAGGGAGGTCCGGGCTGGTGTCGGAGGAGAGCATCCAGCGCTGGGCTGCAGGGACGGGACGAGGATGGAGATCTTTAATATGAGGAAGTGATGTGAATGTGTAAATATGATGCATTAGAAGATTTTATCATCTAAGTGCACAAGTTTTATAAGAAGTCCAAATGCTTCTTATTATGTGTCATAGTATATATGAGGAGCTACTGGCTGCACTAGAATTTAATGTTTTGTATTTTTCTTTAAAAGTCTCTCAGGTGAGGCATCTCAAAATCACACTTTCATGCCTCTACACCTGTAAATGTCACCTTCCAGTAATCGTGCACACAAAGCATCTGTCATGTGTCCAGATTGCCTCAAGCTTTGTCAAAAAGGAAATGAATTTTACAATGATATCTAATGCCAAGGTATTTAACCTCTTAAGACCTGGAGTG